AGAGAGAGAGAGAGAGAGAGAGAGAGAGAGAGAGAGAGAGAGAGAGTCTTCATTACAGCTGATTGGTTACGAGGTTGTTGATCACACTTTGTTTTGACACTGGTGGTCTTCTAACACACACACACACACACACACACACACACACACACACACACACACACACACACACACACACACACACACACACACACACACACCTGCTGGGCCTCATGCTCTCGTGTCTCTGCTGGAAGGACGGCGACGGCGTCACAGCCTCGAGAGCTGATTGGTTCACTCTGGCTGCCAGCTCCTGCCAATGGGATGACAGCACTGTCAGCGTCAACCAATAGGAAACGACTTTGAGTGCACGAAATTCAAATAGCTTTAGTGTACTATTTTATTTGACCTCCTCTCATTCCCTGTCAGCTCCCTGCTAACACATTTTGTCTTTTAACTTCCTGTCTACACTCTAGAAGGTTTAACAATTGTCTGAAAGCATATTGCATGTTTTATAATAGCCATTTGAAGTCATACTTTTCAATAACCTAATCCTATTTTAAACACCGCTGAAATATATGTGGCTCTTTTCACTGTTCTCTCATCTGGATGTGATCATTTTGCGATCAGTTTGAGTGGAAGCACTTCTTGTCTTTGATGAGCTGCGTTTTCTTTATCGTACATATTGCTCTGGTCGAGTGGTTGTATGACAATTTATTATGACAGTCTACACACAAATGTATTTACATTTTCTGGCAAATCAAAATACTGCCAATACACACTGGTTTTACAAGATGTTGTCTTTGTCCAACTTTCCACCTAAAATAATAACAAGAAAGTTTAACCGACTCATGTTTCTGGTGCCGATGAGCCACTAATCACAGAGGAAGATGAGACTTTCTATTCTCTCAGATGACTTCTCCTGCTCAGTGATCAGCTGGTCCTCTGACTTTAGTTCATTTTCATTTATAGTGACTTGTGGATGTACGATGTCTGTGGTAGTGCCAGCTCATAAGACGTCCCTTTATATATGCGGACGTGTATTTTGCTCCGAGTGGTCGACTTACGTTCTTTAATCAATCGACAAATCAGAAGTGTGAAACCAGGCTGGACTACATCTAAAGATGGCTGCCAAACAACCAGTGACCAAGTAAATAAAAGCAGATAAAATGGAAGTTAATGAGGGAAGTGGGACACAGACCTCTGCGTTCTCACTCAGGTAGATCCTTTTGGAGATGTTGTTGATGGTGGAGATCCACTGGAGGAGGAAAGCAGCAGAGGAGACGGTGTGAAGACTCAGACAAAAACAGAGCAGGTCACGTGACAGAAGACAGAAATCATTTTACCTCCTCGCAGTCCTTCCTGCTCTCCGACTGCAGCCACACCAACCTGACGAAAAACACAAAAGTGGCATTCATACTCCATCTTGAAAACTTAAGAATGGAGAAAACATCTCGAAGGACAAATGTTAAAGAAAAGCGGGAGTCCTCTCACTTCTTGCCATCGAAGGAAGTGACCTGGAAGCAGAAGCGCCGGTCGTCGCAGTCGACCGCCATGACGGAACTGTTGTCGAGGTCGGTGACCAGACCGCCCGCCACCTCGCCGCGGCCCTGCTGCATCAGATTACCGCCCTGCGTGAAGAAGTACTGACGCTCCCAGGATGAAGACACCAGCCCCGTCTTACTGAGGGACAGAAGAAGAGCTACGTTAAGTCCAAGTTTTCACCAAGATTGTTTTAATGTCTATTTAGCCAAAAGAAAAGATGAATTTCAAAGATCAGATAATATTTGTGTGCGTGTGAGTGTGTGTGTGTGCGCGTGTCCTACTTGCGGATGTACAGGTAGCCCTGTTTCCTGGTCAGGTTACGACAGACGGGCGAGTGGGCGGGGTCAGGGTCACACGGTGCGTACAGTTGGTCACATGATGTCTCCATCTCCTGGATGGTCTCCTGCATCTGCCCGACCTCCTTCTCCATCTCCCGACGCACGCTACACACACACACACACACACACACACACACACACACGCAGGCACACACTCTGTCGTCATATGTTCGCCTTCACTTTTCTGTCATGTTTCCGTCCATTTTGCAATATTCCTCAAACTTAAACTGAGTTCAAGGAAATAAAACAAAGCATTTGAGACCTTGACTGTAGAACACACACAAAAGCAAAAAAAAATGAGGAGGTGATGGGGGAGGTCTTACTTCTGGACACTGGTTCCTATGGTTCCCAGGAAGTCCTCCCACTGCTGGGTGAGATTTTCTGAACCCAGTTTAAAGAAACTGATCTGCAGAGAACAAACACAGATGAAGACGCATCAGCAGGTTTGGTGACAGCTCTGTCTGCTCCTCTTCCCAGCAGTCTTGTGTTTCTCTCTTTATTTAGCATCACATACATGTTACATGTTACATGTTATTAACAGCTCTACGGTGAAATGAACTGGGACTAGTTGACTCAAGGACAAACCCAAAAGTTTCTCCTGATGAATTACACCATCTCTTAAAGAGGAACTTCAGTATCTTTCAACCCGGAGCCAATTTTTTCACGTTTTTGTATCTAAGTAATAAACATTTTTTTTAGTGTGTGTGTGTGTGTGTGTGTGTGTGTACGTACGTACCTGGGCCTGCATGTAGCCCAGCAGCGGCTCCAGCAGAGCCGTCTTCTTCTTGTACTGTAGCGTGTTCAACGAGCAGAAGTAGTGCATCATGGTCTGGTGGTGTTTCTTGCGGGAGGTGTAAACGTCCTCCACGGCCTCCGCCCGCAACTACAGCACACAAGACTCTCTTCTTATTACAGTATATATATATATATATATATATATATATATATATATATAGTACACTTTAAGTCAAGATAGTCGTATTGTAAAATGTTCATATTGGCACATAACTTAAATTAATGGGCTAAAACTGGATGGATGACTGACTGACTGATCCAGAAGTTATTTGGTTATTTCACGAGTCCATATGTTTCTAATCATTTCTGCAGACGTTGTCCAACGCTAGTGCAACCTAAAGAGTCCTTTTGTCCTAATGGCTCAACACTCTTTTAAAAAGTGGTTGCCAGGCAGACAACCAGCCATCAGCTTTTGTTTGCCGAAACTGAAAATATGGTTCCCATTTTTAGGTAATTTATAATTTAAGTAATTAAGATACTACACAGTTATATGTCAGCTTAACAATGAGCATTTGATATAAAAGCTTTATTACAGTAACCAAACGAAACCCACCAACAGTCAAAACACTTAATTTGCTTCACCGCTGTCTCTGAAACAGATGCCTGAGTGCTTGTGAGCAAACACACTGGTTCCTGTTATAACTGTAACAGCAATATTTAAATTATAAATATCACTTATGCAACAAATAGTAAAAATGTATTTATTTGTGGGTGCCACTTTTGCATTTTGCAGTCCCTATTATTTTATGTTAATAAGTGGTTGCAACCAAAGGACAAGAATTGGTTGAAAATTTCTAAAAAAGGTTGCCAACCCTTCACCGCCGAGCCCTGATACAGGCAATTTGAATGAATGTTTTACTTCAGTTAAGTGGAGCAGTTTTTATTATTTCTTTCTTTTCTTTTCCTCGAAAAAAAGAAAATCAATAACTTCTTATAAACTCAACAGAACTAAAATAAAACCTCTAATCCAAGTTTTCAGCGCTTTATCTGTACTTTTAGGAAACTTCCCTGGAAATCTTTAAGAAGTTACAGACTCGTGGAAATGAAGAATAATCTAGAAGCTTAATATGTTTTAGTGTCGAGGTTTCTTACCTTGTCGTTGTCCCTCTTCTTAGACAGGCGGCTGTATCTGTTAATGGCTACATCGTGATCTACAGACACAAACATTTCAGTCATGAAACATATCTTTGTCTTTTCTTTTCTTTTTCAACACTAACATGTTAGAATGAAACATGAAGCATTAACTCACACCAAGACAAAAAATGCTGTAAAATCTTCCTTTACGCACAGCTAAATGTGCAGGCGATCCAGAGTCAAGCCGACAGAGACCTTCACATTTTCTTCTTTTAGTTCACGAGTTACTTCACATTGAGCTGCGTCCGGGTGACTTTGACCAAGACTCTGTCAGAGACGGCGGCCGTAAATTCTCGTCTTATCTTCAGTCTAATTCGGACAGACTGACCTCCACACACACAGATAAATAAATATATATTCTCAAGAAGAACGTTAATTGATTCATCGCCACCTGTCATGTAGATGTCCAATCAGAATCAGCGTCGATGGTAAACGAAGTCAATTAAATCAAAGCAATAAATTCCAGTGCTTTCTGTACTTATTGAGAGTTTTCCTGTTCGTGCTGCCTGTCGGACGGAACAACAGATTTTGCAGCTGCAAACTCACATTTCAGTATCAACGCACACTGAGGAATTTATTTTGACTACATTTAACAAGTCAACACTGATTGGACATCCACAAATGTCCTCTTTAAGTACATTTTTATAGAAAACTGGCAAACATTTGTATATTTAAGCTTCTCTCATGGGAGTAATGTTCTGCTTATCATAAACTGTTGACACAAAATAAGCAATTGACCGATCCTTAGTCTCCGACCGTACTTATCCAGAAATATTAACTCTTAATTTTATCGAAACATTTGAAGCAGCTGTCCTCTGGTTCAAAAGGAACAGGCAGGTTTGTTGGTCGAGAAAATCTTAGCCAGATTTTAAGATACTTTACTTTATATGCAGCTTCAAGCTCCACTGTAGCTGTGATACTGTCAGTGTTTGTAGCTGAGATGGATTTTCAGTGATACCATAATTGAATTTAAAAACTTAAATGCTACTGAGCAGACGAGTGGGTGGGGCTTATGATTGGTTAGTTGGAAGATGACTCTTTGAAGCTGTGGAAAACTTTTATCCTTCGAAATATTAACAAAAAATGTATACAGAACATTAACTGCAGCCCGAAGTAGCGGTAAAAACTTACCATCACTGGATATTTGGAAGACTTCTTTCAGAGTGAGGATCTCTGAGAGAGAAGAACAGAACTATAAGTTGCAGTACAAAATATGTCTGGGTCCGTTTTCCCGGTTTAGACCCCTTTGTACCAATTAAGGGAAATCTTAGACTTAAGACAACAGTGTGTCTCCAATTGTGTGGGCCAGATTATTGGTGTAGCGCATGTGTGTTTCCTACCCTTCAGGTCTCTCTCTTTAAACTGAGTGATGGGAAACATCATTGCATCTGCAAGCTGGGTGGACAAGACGGCATGACAGGAACTCAACTACAAAAGAGAGGAAGAGGAAGTTGTCATATCGTATTATGTCATATCCTGTCAGGTAAACTCTGCCTGTTGTGGCACATCCAAGAAGAATAAAACAGCAGCAGACGGAGCTCTGGTGTGTTTTCATTCTCTCACCTCATCAATGACTTCTGCAAACTGCTGCAGGGTGGAGCTCATCACCTCGTCATCGCCCCCTAGAGGAAAGCGCTGCCAATGACAACAACAACAACATGGAGGAATGGATTAGATTGATTCTTGTGAGAAGAACAAATGTGTCTCTGCAGCAGCAAACAGACATGAAACGCACAGTAGAGGAATCTGTGAATTCATCGTCACAGAACAAATGTTGGTTAAATGTTGACCCGAGGTTGTCTCTAGAGAAAAGGTCATCATAAGGCTGGTGGCTAGCGTCGTAAAGCTGGTGGCTAGCGTCGTAAAGCTGGTGGTTAGCGTCGTAAAGCTGGTGGCTAGCGTCGTAAAGAAGGTGGCTAGCGTCGTAAAGAAGGTGGTTAGCGTCGTAAAGCTGGTGGCTAGCGTCGTAAAGAAGGTGGTTAGCGTCGTAAAGAAGGTGGCTAGCGTCGTAAAGAAGGTGGCTAGCGTCGTAAAGAAGGTGGCTAGCGTCGTAAAGAAGGTGGTTAGCGTCGTAAAGAAGGTGGCTAGCGTCGTAAAGCTGGTGGCTAGCGTCGTAAAGAAGGTGGCTAGCGTCGTAAAGAAGGTGGCTAGCGTCGTAAAGAAGGTGGCTAGTCCAGCTAGTCCAGTGGCTATTGTTAGTGTTTATTGTTATGTGGCCTGTGGCTATTGTTATAAAGCAGATGACTGGCGTTTAAAGGTTGGTGGCTAGCATTTTTCAGTGGGTAGTATAAAAAGGCTAATGTCTAGTGTTGTAGCATTGCAAGGCTAGTTGTGTAGAGCTGGTATCTGGTTTCATGAAGTCGGTGGCTGGTTGACGACTTGGCCTACCTGTTTGTCGTACTCTTTCAGCAGTCTGGAGGTCAGGTGTGTCGCAGCACTGAGCTCATTCTGAAAGATAAAACAGGACAGACGCAATTACCAATCAGGTTGTATGTTCTGCCTACACCTGCAAAGCCAGTGGCACTACACCTGTGAATCAAGTCTGTGTTTACCTGTGCATCATAAATCCTCTGCATGGCCTGATAGAGCTGTGTACAGTAGTTAGACATCGCTGCAGTGTCCTCCTCAAACACTCCCAGCAGAGAGCGTGTCTACGTGCAAAAACACAACAAGAACACTGGTGAAAGTGCTGTTAATCATTTGACCGATCCATAAAACCGCAGCACACAAAATGATCCCTTGTGTACCTGGCAAAAACCCAAACCCACACCTATCTATGTAAATCCACACCTGTTACATGTCAACACAGTGCAGTACTGTTCCTCACGGTGTCTCAACTGCACCTTTCATAAATAATATTGGGTTGAATGCACTCTACATTGGTACATAAAGGCAATCTTATTTTATTTCCATTTTCTTACGATTAAGAATGTACAAATATAATAATTTGGTTAATTTTACACACATCAATGGGTGAAATGGTGAATAAGCAAGGGTCATGTTAGGAAAAACAAGAGTGCAAATTCCCATTGCTTGTCAAATGCTTTTGATTTCATATTAATACATCATAATGTATTAGTTTTCTTATATTTTGTATTATTAATCTGAATCTGCAAAGTAACTAAAGGTATCAAACAAATATTTGCCTCTGAAATGTAGAAGAAGCATAAAGAACAGAAAATGGAGATACTCTATACTCAGGTACAGTACTTGAGTAAATGTAGTCTGATACACCTCACCACTGGATATCCAGAATATCCAGGTGAAGCCAGGTAACCCAAACAGAGACTAAAAGTGGAACTTGTTTCATGATTCGGACTACTGATTTTCTCTGGTGAAACTGTTTACAGGTGCACTGAACTACAAAACATCCAAACTCAGGTGTATCACACTCTGGCCACACCCCCAATCGGTGATTGTACAGCAGGTTGTTTTTTTTGCTGCAGCTTTCTTCCCTGTGTGTGAATGACACATCTTAACAATTGACATGACATGACAAAAGATGGCCCAAAAGATTACCAAGCTATCAATGGAAGGAGAGGAAGCAGCAGCTAGCCAAGAGGCTAAGGAAGTAGCCGGCTAACCTATCCATTAAACGGGTTCATTTCTGACATTCTGGCTCCCGTATCTTGAGTCGAGACTGATCGATACAGCAGTCGCACGGTCTGATGCCGATGCACAGCTGACGTGTCCTGTCTGACAGCTTTGATTAGCTGGGCCGTTAGCGGTTAGCTTGCTGCTTGAACTTGTCATCTCCCCGCTGGTTGTTGGGAAACAACTGTGAGTCTACAAAGACGGTTAGCTCAGCTGTACAAGTGGCTAACGTTAGCATACTAGCTGAAGCCTCCAGGGAAAGAGGACTGTTACCTGAGGGCTGTCCTCTAGCGTCTCCTCTATTGGCAGCTTCTCTATCCCGGGCATGGCTGCGGTTGGTAAATCGGTGTGAATAGACGGACAAAAAAACGTAACACCAAAATTAACAAATCCCACTCAAGATTTCTTGGCTAAACGAATTCACAACACCCCAGAAACAGCTCCTCCCGGTTCAGCGGGTCCCGCCCTCCAAATGGATTGTGATTGGATAGAAAACAAATCTACGATTTCGATTGGCTCCTTGTTTAAAGGGGAAACTGCGCCATTGTGGCTCTGACCAGGATCGCCCTTTCATATACTCGTGTACAACTTCGAGCCATAATGGCGGCTGAGCTGCTTAGTTTGCGTGAGAATCTACGTTATTTATTGATACATTTGAAATTATACCCGTCCAAAGTGACTCATTTTTGATATTCATTTTTCAAATATTTCATATTTTCTACAGCCATTAACCCCACTGTCCTTGAGTTTTATATAAATATTTAACTAACAAATATATTTGATATTGATTAAATAGAATAAATAAGATATTTGGAAAACAATAATCACCTGAATAAATTAAAGACAAATAAATAGCCAATTGTGACATTAAAATCGTAAAATGATCCATAAAGAGTTATTAGTTTCCTAAACCAGAAAAGATGGCTTTGTTCTTTCATTCATTCAGTGAGTCAGTGAACTCACAGGTCACAGGATGAAGAGGATGAAAAAATCACTGTAAAAAATATAGATTCTACACATTAAAATACCTTTAGAGTATGTAAATGAATAATGACATATTTATGTGAATATATATGATAGACACAGTTGCTTATACAACTGTACATAACAGTGTATATAATGTAATACAGTGGTGGGCTGACAGGGCGTGCAAGGCCTTCTCTAGGAAATTAATACGACACCACAGAGGACAGTAGTGTATGGAAGAACGTAGTATGTGGAGGACAGTGGTGTGTGAAGGACATTGTCCTGAGCAGCCAGTTGTGTAAAATAAAATAAGATCAGGTAGAATCAGATTTATTGTCAATTTATTTTCTGAAATGCATGTTTTGGGAGTGTGGTAGGAAACCGGCGCACCTGGAGGAAACCCACGCATGCAAACTCCACACAGAGAGGAACAGGGGCCAGGAGCTCTCTGTGAGGCCAGAGTGCTAACCACTGAGCAACCGTGCTGCCCTCGTATGAAGGCAAATCAATGTCAAAATCGGTGAGCACAAATGAGATCCACGTGCGTGTGTGTGGAGAGGTCATTTGTGCTCGCGGATTTTGGCATTGATTTGCCTTCATACACTCAGCAACTATGAACTTATCTGCAACACCGCCCCTGACAGATGACATCCAGTGTTGATAGAGAGTATGCGAGTACGCTTGCTCTCTACATTTCCTGTGTGAAATCCATCGAGAGAGGTGTTGTGTTCATAGTGCGATTCATACCTGTCATCGTCGACTGTGGTGCAGCAGGAGAATGTCCTCTTGGCCCAGGAAAAGAAGCAGTTCTTCTTCTTCATTGTCTTCTTCTTGGGCTCCATGTCGTCTGAAAATCAAAAGGAAATTTCGGTAGAATCCAAAACAATGTGAAATAACTCGACAATTCAGACACGCATGGAGGCGAGCATTTCCTACCAAATGTGGAAGTGATTTCTTTGTGTTCCTGTTCCATGTTAAGGTCCACTTTTAGAATGGGAGGGGGGTCACATTTTGGGGATCGCTCCACTGGACTTTGTTCACCGGGTGCAGGTCGCACCAAGATAACACCTGGATATAATGGGTCTGGGTGAAATCCTCTGGTGGCACTGGAGCTGTGGAAATACGACACAAGCAGTTCAACAGACAGCCGACTAGGAAGTCATCCGGTATGTGATGTTTGAAAAAAATCCAATATGGTTTTTCACCCTTCTAAATCCAAAAACACAGAAGATAAAAGTGTAAGGAATAATGTTTTCACTACTCATAAATTAACTGTATATAAAGTGGTGAAATATTTCAGCCCACTTGCAAACACAGACACTTACCCAGCGCTCTGCTGGCGGGGTTCTCTTGTGATGAATGAATGGGCGAGGACTTGACTGGGGGTGATCCTCTTGTTGGCATCCATTTCAAGCATTGCCTTCAGCAGGTCCATGCACTCCATCTTTTCATCAGCTTCCACCCCAGTTAGGCGATTCAAGGGAAACTAATGCAGGAAACAAAATTGCAAATCCGATTCAGAATCAATTAAAATCTCATCTATAGCAGCGACAGAACAATCTATCTAAACACCTACCGTTCCCAAATCGTCCAGGTTGCGGGATTTGGAGTTTGTCTGGTACAACCGAGGTATCTAAAAGAAGGTATTTCAGATAGCTCTTAACCACGTTAACTGATTAATATAAATCTTAATCAGAGAAGAGACTGTTAAGGGAGACAGGACTTTTGATCTTGTCGTACCTTCAGTCTCCAGTGACCGGAAGGCCTTTTTACAAAATGGTTTGTGGAGTACATCCCAGCTCTCAGAAGATGGTGTGGAGGTACACCCAGGAGTTCCACCATGCACCGCATCTGCAGACAAAACACAGAACATATTGTGATGAAGATCTGCGTGGAGCGTTTTTCTGTCTCTTCAATGGATTTCAATGGTTTCATGAACGTCATCGTTTATTCGCTTTGTCGCATTTTGCTTTTATCGACACACCAGCTTTTTCATTTCCAAATTTCTGCGTTTCCACTCAGGTTTCTTCAAATGCAAATTGGTAATGCGCATAAAAATAGGTAAATGAAAACGCAACTAATGACTTACTGCATCGTATTCACTGCTGCTCGGGAAGAGCACTTCACCAAGCACCATGCGTGCCATCACAACACCTAGAGACCACATGTCGATGGCCTCTGAAATTGGAAGTCCCAAAATAATTTCTGGAGCCCTGAAAATGAAACAAATGTCCGACACAGAATGAAAAAACACTGCTATATTTGAACGGATGGTAGACATCGCCTACGCACATAGAGGAATATGACTCGAGTCTCTCTGTAGCTCACCTGTAGGCGACTATTTGGTGGCGATCGCCCTGCTTCACGCTAGAGGTCAGAACAGCCATTCCGAAGTCAATGAGCTTCACCCTGAGTGGCTGAGCTTTTCCTTCCACCACCATGATGTTGTTTGTCTTCAGGTCTGCATGGATCACTCCAATGGTCTTCAGGGCGTCAAAGGCTGTGGCCAACTGCAAGATCAGCAATGAAATTCAAAGGGTGAACTCACAGCTTTTTGACTTAAGTGTTGTGTCTGATGCTACTGTATCCATACCTGTTGGATTACACTCCTGATGTCATCTATATTCAAGGTTTTCATTTCAATCAGGTAGTTAAGGAGAGTCATATCCAGCAACTCAAAGACGAGAGCAGTTCTTTTGTCCGTCAGCTGGAAGGAGTCAATGAACCTGACGATGTTCCGCTCGTCCAGGTTCATCCTTTTAAACATGTTCATAAGATTCAACTGGGGAACACAAGTGTGACGATTAGTTGTTGACACAAGTTTTCAACTCTGGAGAAAGATTTTTTTTTAGATAAAAGTGACAAAAACATGCTGGTGAGTAATTACTTCATTGTTGAGGGTCACGGCGTGTTTAGGGATCTTTTCTTCAACAGTAACACCTTTAGGGATCTTTACTGCAACAGTCTCGTTGGTGTCCTTTTTGACACATTTGAACACTTCTCCATAGCATCCCTCTCCAACAAGTTCCGGCAGCGTATAGTTACTGGGGAGGAGGCGGTGTATATCCTTCTGTTTCTGACAGGCACATGTGGATTGTGTGAGAACCACATTACATACATGATGAGAAGGCAGGAGAAGGGAGAGTTCACCTACACTTTGAGAATACATCGTCTATCTAACTTTCAATATGAGAAATATTTAAAAAAAGGAGCAGCAGCACATGCTTTCTGTTCATAAACGCATCTTCATATTGTATATTGTATCTTTAAGTTCTCACACACTTTTTCTACATGAGGGAGAAACAAACAGCGACTTACCTCCATCACAAAGTATTTGTCGAGTCGACCAGTCGAGTTGGTTCGATTCGTCGAGAGGTTGATCAATACGTCTTCTCTCTCCACTTGTTTGCAGTGAAATGACAAAGTGTCCAGCAGCACCAGAGTTGAGAGTGACATGAGTTCCAGAACATCATCATGATGCCATGTGTTCTGCTCTGTGTTCCCAATATGCAAATGAGGTACTTTTCACCAAACTCAACCATATGAGAACAATTTATTCAATGTAAACAAGTACATTTTGATTTATTTTATATTTTTATCAAAAAAGTCTTGGTTTACAGCGGTCACAAATAATGTCTGCCTTGTCACAGTTTCAATATGTCTTCAACCTGCAGGTTCATGTAATCTCATTTGTGACCAATCCCTTACATTGAAGATACAAGGTTTTTACAACACAGTGATAAAATATTATGTGTGTTAGTGGCTAAAATGTTCTTATTAAAGAATAAAGTGAATCTAAAACTGAAGATGTTTACATTTAAAGGAAGAAACCAATGTGTCAATAAACACAAATACATTTTTTTCAGCTGTGAAAACCCAAAAGCTTACTACCTTCATCACTACTTCAGCACTTCAGTCAGTTGCCACACACAATAACACATTACATATGATTGAGTGAAGCATTACATGAAGTAATAGTATGCGTTTTTTCGCTTTAGTAAAGGGGGAAATATGTGCAAAGTAAGTGGGTTGACAGTGACGGACGTAACAAGATGCTAAATCCCTAGCATGGTCTTTTTAGCTAGCAAGTCAGCTAGCCAGCTAAATTGGGTGCAGGGTGCAACTGTGGTAATTTGGTAAACAATAAATATACTTGAATACCAAAGTATTAACACTCTGTCTTCAGCACACTCCACTGTCAGTCTAAACTGGTCGTTGTAAACTGTAAACTTTGCAGCAACGAGCCGTGGCTCAAGACCTTTCCAAAATGTGAAGAAAGAGAAACACAATGAGTGACTCTGTGGTGGTTCCCAGTCTGTAACTGGTTACCACATTCTGCTGAGAGGACCCAGATGTGAGGAATCCACAGAGTCACAGCCGGTCTCTTAGCAGTGTCCTGATGGGGGTCCAACAAAAAAGATTATACTAATGTAAAATGAAAATGTCCAGATTGAACCAAACAAGTAACTAAATGGTCAGCTTGTCTCTTTATGTTTGAAATGTGTTGTGACACTTTATCAGTATGTTCTTTTTTTATTAAAGAAGTTTGTCCAAGTGTTGTTACTTACTTTTGCCACCAGAGGGTGTGTAGTGGTGTCAGTAGTACACAACTAGTGCTTTTGAATAATAACAGCAAAAGAAAATCATAATTCAGTGTGTCTTTGAGTTATTTGTTTTAGACCATAGATATATTTATAGACACACCATGATAACAACACATGTAAATATGTACATTGTTTGTTCACTTCTGATACGTTTGTCCGGTTTTATTATCGGTTAAGGAAGTGTAAATTATTAAAAAGTACAATATTTCACTATGAAATGCAGTAAAGAACAAGTGTAAAGTTCAGGTATTCAAGTTCAAATTACCTCGTTAAGAGTACAGTAATCAGTAGTTGTTAGCCTACTTTCCACCACAGCCGGATGAATCCTGTTTAAACTCCACAGGTGGTAAAAATCTCAAAACACTGATTTAGAAAGTCAACATTTTAACTTTCTATCTCATAACTTCGAAAATATTCATTTTTTATATGATATCTTTTTATCTGTATTTATTTTTTCCCTATTGCATATGAGCTTCCATACAGGTATAGGTGGAACTATGCTAACATCTTTTATTTAAGAAAAAGTAGCAATACCACAGTGTAAAAATACTCATTAGCATCGAAATATATTTAAAGTACAAAAAGTAAAAGTACTCATTCTGCAGATTGGCCCATTTCAGAACAATATCAAATGTGTATCATATTATTGTGTTATATATATTATATTACTTTATATACTGATGGGAAGCTTAACTTATAATAATATATCATCAAGTATTCGTTAACTATATTTTGTATTGTTAGTCTAAACCAGCAAAGTAATTCATGTCAAATAAACTTTGAAACAATTACAATATTTACCTCTAAATTGCAGTAAGTGTAAAGTGGCCAACATTGAAATAGTCAAGTAAAGGACAAGTAACTTAAAATTGAACTTGAGACCTTTAGTAAATGTACTTAGTTAGTTAGTTAGATAGATAGATTGATTGATAGTTACTTTATTAATACCGCAAGTGGACGTTTTTTCGCTCCAGCAGCATTTTTGGTAGGCTACAGGTAAAGCAATAAAAATAGTAAGTAAGAAATATTAAAATAAAAAACACAAATATAAAATGCACAATATATACAATAAAAATAACCGACCAAAAAAGATTAAATATAAAAATACACAATATATACAATGAAATAGAATAATCTTAAAATAACTAACTAAACAATAGTGCAAAGATTTAACCAAACAAAACAAACAGCATCAGTGTAACGGTGTTATCGTGACTTTCCACCGGTTTAACCCTCAAAAAGTACTTTTGAAGATGTGAGGACTGAATAAAACCGTCACACCCTCACGGTTGCAAAATTCAACCTGGTCCTCACAAAGATAGATAACACACGAACACACGCGCGCCTCCTTCCCTCTCCTCTCTCTCAATAGTCTCTCTCACAGTCTCTCCAGACTTGAGGGAGGAATGGCGGCTCCTCGGAGTTTCTTCATCACTCTCTCCGGTTTATTCCTGTTTTTTTATTCCTCTTGTGGATCTACGACCTCCGGCATCAAGAGAGCAAACCAGGAGCGATGCGGTTACAAGGTAAACCGCAGAAGTGCACTTTTTACAGTGTTGTTTTAACGACATTAAAGCTGCTGGTGCGTCGTCTCCAATAAGTGTCCAAAGTTCAGTTTTCGGAGATGTTTCCGTCTGTTTGTCTTTTCTCTCTCTGTTGCAGTTTGTGTATCTAAACTTGTAAGTGAAGTTTGAAGATATACTTTTGTTCAAACAATCTTAAATCCACAGGTTGCGTCAGTCACGCGACGTTACCTTTCGTACCTGTAGCTCCGGTTCGGCCCATTTTTTTACGCCCCATTTGTGACCAAACTCCAATTTAGAAAGTGCTGATTTAAAGATCACTCGCTCTACTGTAACTTCCCACATCCCAGAAAACGGACTTAAAGCCTTTTTCTGAATGAGTCTGGTTGTCCTGCTAAATTCGGTATACATGTAGTCAACCATAGAGGACTTCACTCCATTAAAAATATAACATTTTATAACCTATTTGTCTCCCAAAAAGACAGCATGTGACTGATAAACTCTACAAAAATACGTTTGATATTGATATTTAGTACTGGATCTATGCTGAATTTAAAAGTGGCTCCCAAACCTCATGTTTATGTGTTTTATTGGCTTTGTAAACACTTTGAGATATCAACTTGTTTAAAGTGTAATAGGAGAAGAAGGTAAGTCAGACTAGTCTCCTACCTGTGGAGAGGTAGACCTGCTACTCTCTGCTTTACACCAAACTCCTAAAGAAAACGGTAATTGGACGTTTCCTACCTTTTGAAGTATTTTTCTGTGTCTGCCTGGTATGTGTTTGGTTGCATTTTGCACATAAGAGCACATACCTATGATAAAACCATAACTCTTAACAGCCAAAGTGGATAGTTATTTTTGCAAATGATAGTTTAATAACTTCTACTTGGTGCTGAATTACAAATATTTCAGATGGATAAAAAAACACAGAGCTTCCACTTCTTTCCGTTTGAGTTGTGTGGCTTTGGGGGATTTCATGTAGTAAAGCTGATTTCCTGCCTTTTGTGTGTTCTGTTAAAAACATTTGATGTGGAAAACAGGAATATGAGCTGATGCACCGCCTCCACACTGCTGCTCTGCTCCTGGCCATGAATGTACCACTTTCATGTGCACTTTGAAAACAAATTTATCTTAAATGAAAAAAAAAAAAGTGACGTTTTAATCAGATTTTGGCAAAAGGTCTTCAGATACCTCAATATTTTAACTTGATGTCCTTTACTCTTTCACTCCCATACAAACCATCTTTTTTATTTTACATTGCAACAGTTATCAATCACTTTTTCTTCTTGCTGCTTTGTCCTGATTGTCTCCAAAATGTCAACTTGCCCAAACTTCAGATTATCAAGATGATGATTTTGATGTTGCTGCCAGTAGATGGTTACAGATTAATTACTATCGAGTAATTCTGTAGTCACTTTAGCAACCTTTTCTTTTCTTTATTATTAGATTGTTTTTAGGTAAGGTGAGGTCACCTGTGTGTCGTTGTAAAACGTTCTTACAATCAAGTATCATTGACAATAATCGATTATTCTGCAGATTTTCTAGCTTTATTGATTATTTGATTATTTATTAATTCTTTTGTTATATACAGTTTCAGCTTACTATCATCTGGGTGATTGGGACTGCCCATTATATCATTGATTTATGTTAATATAAGCATATTTATTGCCCAATTTAATGAATACCTTTTCTAAACTTAAATTTGACACGCACCTATTCATTTTCCTGTTAATCGATATTAATAAAGAGCCCATGATCATTCCTGTTGATCAGAATAGTTAGCGATAGTCGATCTGTTGGATGAATCGACAAATCTTTTCAGCTCTAGAGAGAGAAGCAGTTTGAAAGACAAAACTTAAAGAAAGTCACATGAAGATTTAGATTTTAGTGTTTTTGAAGGGAGTGAGGAAAGTGTGTGTGTGTGTGTGTGTGTGTGTGTGTGTGTGTGTGTGTGTGT